CTTCTTCTTAAGGCTATCCTTGTCAGCTGTTGAAAAACAAGGCCTGACCCACTCCCTGCTCTCCTGGCCAGGTCTCTTCAGGCCTCCCTGATCCAATTTTTCCCATATGACTCTCTCTAGGGTACTTTCATCCCAATCCTTGGGGGCTCCTTTTAGCTCTAGCTTTGGCCTCTTTGTTCTGGCCAGTCTAGCCACAAGGCCTTTCTCTCCCATATTCTTTCATTTGATTAACTTCATTACCTGGTAAGAACCTTTTGTTTTGACCAGGTCTGCCTTGCCAGCGTGGACAACTTTTACTATTTCTACCTCCACTCCTGCTCCCTTCGGCTCACTTTCACCTGGTCGTTGCTTCCAAATGGTATTGTAACGCATGCTGGGGTATCATTAGGAGCCCCAGATGCTTTCTTATTCCCGACTTCCTTCAGGATATCTGAATACGTGGGCTTCTTTCTCTCTTGATCCTGCAGTTCTACTTTCTTTTTCTTCTCCTTCCTCGCAGCCTTCTTTCTCTCTTTACAAGGGACTACGAACCCTTTGGCTGCACCTTCATTATTTTCCACTTTCTGGTCTTTATCTCCCTTCCTTGCAACCTTTACGTCCTTCCTCAGGGGGCCGATTTCCTCATCTGAAGCCACAAGGTTCCTTCCCCTCGCAAACTCTATTCCTTTGCTCCTGAGCAGCATAGGGGCTGGCATGTATGCTGTTCTGGCGTGTTCTTTGCTAGTCCTTTCTCACTCTCATCTCCACCTCGGCTCATTGTCTGCCTTCTCTCATCTTTTTGTTCCTTCTCCTTCTTGGCCCTCAACAAGGCCGCCGAATAGGGGTTTGCTCTTTATCTTCCATCTTCAGGTAGTCCATGGCCTCATAAAAACCTCCATGCATCTCGGGACGGCATTTCGTAGGATGTCATCAGTAATCATGGTGTAACATCCCGTGTCACCAGGGTCTCTTTAACGGTCCTAGTAAAGAGACCAGAGACCATTTTCATTCTGGCATCAATTTTCATTCTCTCTTCATCAATCTTGCTCAGTATTTTCGCAAATACACTCAGATTTTTACCAATTACTAACCCATCTATTTGTTCCTTAATAGGGTTGCTTCGGATAACTTTCTCCATGGTCGCTAGCCTTGTCCTCAGCTCCACTATGTATGGGGCCCAAAGCCCATCACTCCTGGACTTGACATCAACCTCAGGCGTCTCCTGTCTTTTCCTCTTGGGATGCCTCTTATCCTTGGGCTTCTGCTTCATAGCTTCGCCAACAACCGCTCCCTCATCCTCCTCACGTCCTAACAACATAGGTTCCTCTTCCCAAATGTTTATACAACTTTTTACCTGGTTACTACCCATTAAATTCTCTGATCCTTTCTGTACCCCCACTAAAGTCTCCCAGTTTTCGGCCTTTTTCGGCGAGGCTGGCATCGAACTCACCTCTGAAGTGCTTTCGCAGGTCTTATGTAGTCCTTCACCATTAATCAAATCTCCCAACTCAACTCAACAATCTGGAAAACCGGGAAATGTACAGAAATTTTTCAAAAAAACGTCAATTTTTTTATTTATTTATTTATACTCCTTTATCCTATAAAATAAAAACGGTCAACTGTTAATAGTATTGTATGTTCCTGGCGATGGGAAGAACATTTCTCGAAACATCTAATAGATATAGTAATAAACAATGAATAAAATTCAATAAAAAGACGTCCTCCTGTATATAATTCGTTATTTTATATTGCTACTAGTTTAGCTCCTTCACCAGGCTAAATATAATAACATATATGTTATAATATATATATAATAAAAGTTAAGGATACAAAAATTAATAACAATTTTTTTTTTGTATTATTTTAATGGAATTTACAACTGTATTACATAGAGAATACAATAAGTAAATGAGAAATTTGTAACATGGCACGTACAACATGAAGAGAAACTACCCATTGGTAGAACTCAAACTAAAGTTCTATATTAGAAGATCCCGAGGCCATCTTCTTTTCAGACGCCTCGGAGGGTAATAACAATAAAAAGCAAAATTTACAAATTAATCTATTAAATAAATTAAAACATAGCAATCAAATAAAAACTAATTATCACGTATTTTATTACAGTCCTCCTCTCCTGCTTGTCAAATGACACAAGTAAAAACAAAACTATTGTCTTGATGGACATTCGTCATCTACTACGTCTTGTTTTCATTATCCGCTACTAATTTAATGAACATAGAATCCTCAAATTGATTATTATTAACATTCGAACATAGCATGTTGTTTTTCGTTGTATGTTTCTTAATTTATGTTTTTTCAAGAAAATCCATTATTTTCCATTTAGATATAGGTTATATGAGTTTTACGGTACTATTTTAACGTGGATTTTGAAAACAGTAGTTAGTGAATGGGAAAATTTTCAGATAATCATATGAATTAATATTCTTATTTCTTCAACAAATATTAATTTTACTTAAAATTTTTATTTTAAACCCATATTTCCAACCGTATTTACTCCTATAAAAGGTAATACTGTTGTATTTATAAATACAATGTTAATAAAAGTACTGTCAAATTCATCAGCAGTGAATTTAGGAATTACATATATGGAAAATATTTTAATAATGGTAATTACATCAGAGGAAAATTTTGTGCTAAGAAATGAAATACAAAAACAATGGTGCTTTCAGTGATAAGATATTTATTTTTTTTTTTTTAACACGTGCTTAGATTTTGTAACTTTATATATGTTAAAATTTAAAAATAATACATATTGTTATATTTTTAGTACTTAGCAAAGATTACACACCGAAATAAATATAGATAAAAAAAAAAAGATTATTTTTTCATATCAGAGGACTACAGTCCAAAGTCTCCTAATTCCACAATAATTGTATTTACATATGTAATAAAGAATATTATTATATTCACATAAAATTATAGATAAATATGTTTTATTTAGAAAATATTTCTTTTCTTTAAAATTACAAGTCTAATTTGCTATCTCATTTACTACTGTAAATACGAATATGGTTGTATTTACAGGCAGGGTAAAGCATATTGTTACATTCACATAAAAGTATGAATAAATATACCTTCTTACTAAACAAATAAAGTTTAAAATGTCCTATTCACATAATCTTAAAAATAAATATTTTTATTAATTAAACAGCCTTTCAACAGTCACATTGTGGGGGTATATTTCCTTTTAAGTTTTTAATGTTATTTGGTTTTTCTATGAAGAAATTACTGTCTATATTTATGGGAGCCCGGCCTGGAAAACACGTATAAGATGAACATGGCATCGACATGGATTTCAGAAGCTATTAATTTTTGCATATTTAATATATATTATTAATTTGTGTAAAAATAAATGAAGAAGAATATCTCATTATAATTTTATGGGAATATAATTGTGTTCATTATCACTCCTGTAAATATGAGTTTATGCATTTTTAAAGGCATGTATTTTGATGCAAATATTTGTATTCAGACCAATAAATTTGCTGTAATATTAATATTTAATTAAGGATGTTTATACATACTTTTATTTAATATGACAATATTCTTTACCACACCTGTAATTACAAGTATATTCATATTTACAGGATCGAATACGATAAGAAATACATGTATTTCGACTTACAAATTTGAAAGAAAATAAATATTTTTAAATTAAGAAGAATATTTATCCATAATTTTATGTGAATGTAACATTCACATAAAATTCATCATAACATTCATTCTATATCACATATTTAAATTCAATTACGAGAGGATAAAGAGACATATATGCCCAACTCTGATTTTTAAGGATGGGTTTTACTTGATTGAGTCTCTCGGTTCTCTCAGTCAACAAACCTTGGTCTTGGTCTTCCGCACTTAGTGTTTGTGGTATATCGATTATACCAATTAGTGATTTAGTTGTATTAACCTAGCAGTGTTAGCACCCGAGGCAATACGGATCCACGAAGGGGCACGGCACCGGAGATGCCCTGATGAGATTACGCAGGGAAGTTGATGACAAGGCGGAGAAATATGTCATGATGGTCTTCTTTGACATATCTTCCGCCTTTGATAGCGTATGGTGGCCCTGCGTACTCCCGCGCCTCCAACAGGTCGACGCCCCCAGCAATTTGTATTCCCTCATTAGGGAGTACAGATTGCTATTTAATTGCTAAAATTCGGACTATTTCAGCAAAGATACAACTTATTGAAATTTGTAAACATGAGGTGTTGGTTCCAAACATAAATAATGGTTTTAAATTATATTTTCTTTTCTTATTAACTTGGCATTAGATCACTTAATAATATGCTGTGCAAATTTTTTGCAAGGGCCTACTAGTTATAAACAATAGCTAATTATAAAGAGGATGAAATGATGAACATTTTCCTTACTAACAATATGCAGTTCCGATTTTTAGATTTTGAGATATTTTAATCCATATGCAAAAACACTTCAATAAATCGACTTCAGCCGACTTTACTTCAGATTTCCACATCGGAGATACGATTGCTCAATCTAATTCACTCTCCACAAAAAAAGTGCAAAATGCGCCTAAAGAAGTTGTCACTTAAAAATATAAAGATGGAATTAAAAAAAAATATTGGTATAATAGTTAAGAAATAATCAAGGATAAATAAAAAATTAGAATTCACTTACAAACTAGTCAGAAGAGCTTCAACTTGTGAAGTACTCTAGAATTTGGAGAGTCTTCTTAATCCAATTACCTTACAGTTTTTTAATAAAATTTCGGAACTTTCCTGAGGTGATTCTCTCACTTCTGACCTATTCAACATTGTCCTAAATGATCTCAATTCCATAATACCATCTTGTCCGTGAACTGTCTTATATCCTAACTGCTTCATAATTGGGTGGGTACAATATTTTGTTGAGTTTTATTTATTTTTTAAAATTTATAACTATGATAACTGACAATTAATTCTTTTAATTATTGATATTTTTGTTGTATATTACTGCAGATTTGCTTGTTTTTTACTTACTTTGTGTGTACTTATAGCTTGGTGGATTGTCCATGAAAGAAGCAAAACATAGTGCCAATGATCTTTTGAAAGTTGTGGGAATATTTGAAAAAAAAAATGTTGCAGTAACTAAATTGTCTGGTGGTATGCAACGGAAATTATGCATTGCCCTCTCCCTTGTTGGAAGTCCAAAGGTAATTAATTATATTAAGATTTAATTTAAAGGTAATTATTTATTCTCATGAAATAATGATTATCAAATTAATTTATTTCACATGCTTTTTAAAATCATTCCACAATTAATTATTTAAAATAGCTTTTATTTATTTCTATAACATTTGAGGAGTTAATTGATAGAATTTTAAACGTCCTTCTAGGATGTTACTTTAGTACTGTCTGCTAGTAAGATTCACCTGTACTACAGTATAAAAGCTTTTTTTGTATTAGCGGGATAGTCATTATTTCGACTAGAAACTTTAGAAAATTTTGAGTTGACACAAAAAAAAAAAAGAAAAAAGAATAAAATAAATTATCTTCCTAAAACTCACTCTATGAATATCGAAACCAATGTCTTTATAATGTCACATTTTTATCAAATATTTATAACCAGTGGGGAAGCTAATCAGCCATAATTTCGGCATTATGACTAGTTACAAAATAAGCCATAACTTCACAATCAGTAAAACTGAGACAGCATGTTTTTCTTTGATATCTTAATTTGACTGACCAAATTCAAATAATGCTTGGAGTATGGCAGAATTTATAGACAATTTTCTGAACGTGAAATGATATGGTGCTCTAGTTTCTGTTGAAAAATGTTTGTTATGGTTTAATGGAAGCTAGATGGAACATCATTACAAGGATAAAAATCATTAATATTTCTAGAATGGATGAGATATATTCAGATTCGTCAAAAAACATAAGTGTATAATCGGAGAAATCGTTTAATCTCTGCCATTAAAGCTGATACTTACATCAAACGTTACAGGAACTGACCTGCCTTGGGAACATTGTCACAGGATTTAGTCTCACATTGAAGATTATGGTTTTAAGGAGTAGAGAAAGGAGGCATAGGGCTGCGATTGTGGTTAATAACCCAAATCTTGACATGGATCTATCTGAGGCAGTATTCTATGGCAGATATTTTGGCATTTTATGTCATGTGGGGTAGCAATTTTTTTACATTTGTTTCTGCATACCTATGTAACGGAACGGACATAGATGACATATCTGTCATATAGATGATCACAGCTCACACTAGAAATGTGATAATTTGCTCGGATACCAATTCCTGTAACACGGTCCGGGGATTCAATCAGAATTATAGAAGAGATGCTAAGAAGCTCAATGAGATTATTACTAGGAGCCACCTAGTCGTAAACAATATTCCTGCCCTCCTATGTTTCACTATGTTCTTCTGGAGGTATGGTTGTGAGCTGGATTGATGTCATGCTAGGTTCACTGACACTTTTGGACATATTGTTGATTCATTTCCCTGTACTGCAGAAAAATAAATAATAACTACCTCAGGAACTAAGCCCTGAACATTCAAAACCAGACACTCTGGAACTCACATTTCAATGTGCTTGGCCATCACGTCCTCTAAACAATACTACTAAGTTTATGTAGATGTTTGTTAAGTGATTTTTTATGAGTAATGTACTTCATTGTTAATACTTACTTATTCTGTTCTTTTAGGTGGTAATTCTTGACGAACCTTCCTCTGGTGTAGATCCTGAGTCAAGAAGGGAAATTTGGAATATACTTTTGGTAAAAATATTAATGCACAATTGAGTTTATTAATTTAATATTTAATAATTATACCATGAAAAGATTCATTTTATATATATTATTATTTATACTTATGTGGGACTCTTTTAAAAAATCAGATATAATTTTTTTTTTTTGTTTAGTAAATTTCAAGTTCGTTTTGTTTTCATTACGATAACAGCTTTTATTACTTCTCCAAAGCTGCATCCATTCACACAGAGTACAGTGTAGAATTATTGTTATTTATTAAACCCTATTTAAAAGATTGTGTTTCATTAAATAACCTAACTTCCAACAAGTTTCACTTCAGTCTATATTTATATTTTAAAAATGGTAATTATATTATATCAATGCTCCAATAACCATTCTACTATTGCAGCATTCAAGAGAAAATAGAATTTTGCTCCTCACAACTCACTTCATGGAAGAAGCAGATGTATTGGGCGATCAGATAGCAATTATGAATCATGGGGAGATCGTATGTTATGGTTCCCCTATGTTTTTGAAGAAGCATTATGGTTAGTAAATAATTTTTTTTTCCTTAAAATTCTATTTCTGTTAGCAAAGATGAAAATGAGCTAGTTTGAGAGACTTCTATTAAGCTGAATATTGTAATTATGATCAAAGTGTAGTTTGATCTCACTAATTAGGATCCCTATATCGGGATCAATTGTGCAAGTATATACAAAAAAAATTAATTCCTAAATAATTAGTTACTAGTACTAGTGGATTAGCTATTTTTGCATAGCATACTTTCAAAGGATAATGTAATTAATATATACTATTCTTTGAGTTGTAATTTAGTTTTTAGGTTATTGTTCATATATTTTTTTTTACTTTCTTCTCTTCTTCTTCTTCTTCCTCCTTGTGTGTCTTTCAGCGTGGAGGAGCCTCCAGCCACTTTGACCATGCATCCCAGTCTCTTGCCTATTCCTTCATCTAACCTAGGGTTTTTCCTCTTTCCTCATCTAGTGGTTGGATATGTTCTATATATGCTCTTCTAGGCCTGCCAGTTGTCCTCGCTTTCATGCATTTCTTTGGTACTTAGCTTTCTTCCATTCTATACATGTGCCCATACCATCGAAATTGACGGCATTCCATAGTTCCTTTCAGTGAGGGTATCAGGAGTTCCTCTCTTATTCTTTCATTCCTCACTCTGTCTCTCCTGGTTTTTCCCAAAATTCTTCGTACGAATTTCATTTCAGCAGCCGTAATTCTGCTTAAGTAATCCTACATTATTATATGTAGGATTATTATGTACTATACATTATTATTATGTAGCTTTTCCTGCCATATAATAATGTAGGGAGATAGAGTGCTTTATAGATGTGGAGTTTTACATTTTACTTCCTACCTCTCTCTTACCATGTAAAAAGATTCTAATAGAGAGTGGTTTGGTTGGTATCCATGCTCCAAGAAGGCAAAAATGATTAATAACAAAATTATGAAAAAGGACAATTTTCATGAAATTATTAAATTATTGTCTTCTTTTAATGCATTAAAAAACTTTTTCACTGCTAACATTAACCCATTTCATTTTCATCTTTGATTGTTATTGACTAGAAATATAAACTAATTTTATTTTTCGTTAATATTGAAAGAATTTTTGTTGAACAAAATAAAACAAATGGATTAATTAATTAATCTTATCTTATTAATTAATAAGAACTAAGGATCAACATATCCACTACTATATTTTATAAGTACGAACAATCAAAGTTTCAGTCAACAATAAAATTTTAAAAATCAATCCACAACTTGAGTGCAAAACGTTCAACACAATAGAATAAGAGACACTTCATCATTTATTATTTAAATGCTCAATATATATATTGTAAATAGTTACTACTGTAAATATGTATATAAATTATTAGATCGTTCTTCATTATTTTTATTTCATGTTTATTTTCAATTTTTTGTTTTTTATTTTTAACTGATCTAAATTAGTAAGTAACTTATAATTTTTTATATTATTTATTTTTATTTTGACTATTTAATTACTATGTATTTTTGTTTATGTATCTCTAAGGCTCCTTAGCCCATATTATTGTCTTTTTATATTATTCTAAAGGGACTCGTCCCAGAACAAATAAAGCATTATTATTATTATTATATAATAGCTTGAGAGTAAGAATTTATCAGGGTACAGGAAGTCTTAACGAGATGAAATATTTAAGCCAACCACAATAGAAGATATGAGAAAATTAAATTTTTTTCATCTCTAATATATCTAATTATGAAGAATTAGTGGAGTAATCTCAAATTTTGTCCTCTGAGTATTGTAGCAAAAATACAATAGATTATTTGTTTATGTGAATAATCTGGTAATTTAATTTTAGAACATGATTTAATATTAATATTTTAAAAATGTATTTATTGTTTTTTATGTGTTCTATTGACAATTTTTGATTTTATACTAATTTTAATAATTGGCATTATTTTAACTGTCAGACTTTTTAATAAATGTGATTTATAAGTTATCCTTAAGACTTTTGTAATATTTATAATGTAGCATATAAAGGAAGAAAAATATTGTAATGCAAAAAGGGTAATAATGTTTATAATATAGAGATAGACTCTATTTTTATGGGGTTCTTCCCTCAAAATGAATGCAGATTAAATAAGAAATCTGGTGCGGGCAACATACAACTTCACTTATCGCTCTACTTTAAATAAAAATTATTTTCTGGCAATGTTAGGCTATTAAAAAATGTTTGAAGTGAATTTTGAATGGAGCTAAAGCTTAAAGCTTATAGATAGCTAATCGTTAAGTCCATTAAAATTACTAAAAGTCTATTTATTATATCGATGGTAGGCAATAAAAATCTAGTTACTCCATCTGCTTTTATGAACCACACAAGTTCAGTCTCTGTGCCTTTCAGTTTACAGAATGACTAACTCTAAGTTCAACATTTTTGAGTAATGTAATTTTAGTGATACTTCTAGTTGGAAAAATTATATCTATACAGACAGTGAGTAAGTTGATTCCAGAGTAGGTGATAGCAGTGTTGAAATATATATTGGGTGGAGTGACCGGACGGGCTAACGTGTGTGCTCAGTGCACCTCATGATTTTCTCCTAATTCAATGTTTGTATGGCCGTTGGATAGCCATATATAAACAACTTTTATATTTAATGGCCTCATAAGGAATAAATAAAGAAAAACTACAAACACATTTTTATTTTTTATCTCCAAGCCTAATTTATCTACGGATCTCTGGTTTATGCCATCTCTTGTATATTATAGGGCCCTGTTTAGGCAACTTTTTCAATTATGGCAAAATAACTCTCATGAGGTTCAATAAGGCAACATTCTAATTTTAAAGCAGTGGACTGTATCTTAAGGGGTTGGTAGGTTAATGATTGTGCAAAAAAAATAGCTTACTCTATATGCCAGCCTACATCTTTTTTACCTTGGAAAGCCCTCCTGGTTGGTCCTTTGCTGGTCAAGAAGTGGCTTCGAGAGAACCAGTCACTCTCAAAGCTTAAGTGTTATCTTTTAGATCTGTGCCCACCACTCGCGGTAACGCAGGAAATTTACACCTTTCCTTGCATAACCAGGCCCTAAATGCATGTAAACTTTCGTTTGGATAAGTAGAGGCATATCAAAGTTATGACAACTTTTGTGACTTTAAAAAAAAAAATGAAGGTTGAACCTAGAAAATTTGACGCAAAAAATTTTTATTTTTCGATTCCAGTGAAAATTTTGGTAATTGAGGGTTTATAGAGGTGCGAAATACAAATCTCAACTTTGTTCCTCCTTAAAAAAATATTTCAACCCAGTTTACTCCTACAGCCGCTACGAATTCTTTCATTTCAGAGATAATTCTTATCAATTTCGATAATTTTTTATTTTGTAGGAAATTCAGGAAGCTTTCAAATAAGTATTGGTATAAAAAATGTGTACTTTTTGAGTTATTCCCAAATAAAATACTGAATTCATCATAAAAATTTATTTAGCTTGTTTTCAGGAAAGTATGTTATATAGATAGATAGATATATTGAAAATAACTTTATTCTGGGACACAGTCACTTAAGAATAACAAAATAGAACAAAACTAAAAGATTACATGTGGCCAAAATAAAATCAATCGAAAAAAAGAAATAGTGTAAAGAAAATATAAGGTAAACATTCTATATTCAAAACAAACAAAACTATATACAAAACAATTAACACCATGACAAGGCACTTAAAGCTATTTTCACTGATAGACCAGTATACACTTTTAAGAAAACAATAAAGAATTAAAAATAAAAATATATTAAATTCTTTATTAAAATCAGCTTTGTGTTTCTGTTGAGAAAACAGAAAGCTGAATCTGACAATATAAAGTGCCTGATTAATATATAAATACATTATCAGTTAGCATTGATATTTGACAATGAATGGCATGGAATAAATGTATGTTGTCGAATGGTTAGCAACTATCTGACTGTTTTTGGGATAGGAATTGGAATAGGAGGGTTTTGAATGTGGATATGGATGGGGAATGTCGAATTTTGATAGGGAGGGAATTCCAGAAAATGACAGAAATTGAACAATAAAGGAGTTTTGGAATGAGGCAGATCTGTGAGAAGACATGTAAAGATTAGAAGGTTGAGATCTTGTTAACAGAGAATGGACTGAAGATTTGAACTGGAGAAGGTTGTAGGTGTAAAAAAGACGATGGTTGTTGATGATTTGGTAGAGGAAGGTACCCAGGAAATATTGTCTTCGGAAGGAGGGAATAAGCCACTTTAACTCAGCGTAGTCGTGAGAGACATGGGAGTATCTTGGGACCCCGATCACAAATCTTACGCATTAGCTGTTCATTAGTCTTTTCAGTCTATCGCGGAGCTCCACAGAGAGGCCATCACACACTACACAGCTATATTCAAAGTGGGGGGAAATGAGAGAGGAAACTAGGAGTCTACGCGTATGTTGAGGTAGGAGATGGCGGAAGCGATGGAATAGTTTGAGGGTGGAAATTGTCCGTTGAGAGATATAAGAAATATGGTGATTCCAAAAGAGGTTTTTATCAATGAAAAATCCTAAATTTTTTACAGAGGAGTAGAAGGAGATTGGCTGGTCATTAAGGTGAGGGATGGAAAAGTCGGTATGGGATCTAAGAAGGGGCTTGGAAGCAATGACAATGGCCTGAGTTTTGGCAGCATTAATCAACCTTAATCCATTTACATTTGCCCAGGCACTAATTCGATCTAGGTCTTCTTGGATCTTGGCAAATACCCCCAATAACTCAGGAGGGAAAAATTATAGGTACATCTGAGAATCCTCTGCATAAAGGTGGTGGGAATAATGGAGAATTGATTTATGTAGGTTGTTAATGTAGGAGCTGAAAAGGAGAGGAGATATGCTTGAACCCTGGGCAACTCCAGAGGATAAAGAAAGGAAGGCAGATAGTGGTTAATTGGGTATGGAAACTGCTTGGGTACGTTGTGAAAGGAAAGATTGAAACCAAGAGATGGAACTATTGGAAAAGGATAATAATTTCAGTTTGTTGAAAAGGATGGAATGGTTAATGGAATCGAAGGCTTTGGAGAAGTCGAGAAGGATAAGGATAGTTAACTTTTTATCATCTATTGCAGTTTGAATGTCGCTGGTGATTTTAATTAAGGCGGATTGTGTGGAGTAGCTGGGACGGAAACCAGATTGAGGGGGATCAAGTTGATTTGACTTTTCAAGGAAGTTGGAGGGGATTGCAGCAATCTTTCTAGGGATTTTGAGAAATTGGAAAGAATTGAGATGTTTGTCTCCATGGTGCAGTGACAGGCCACTCATAGCTCCGTAGGGCAAACTAATAAACTGAAGATAACATGATAAAATAATTATGAGTTCGCGTCCCAGTGCCAGGGGAGGAAAGGGAGCGGTTTTTAACTCTGGCATTAATCCCCTACCTGACACAAGAAAAATCCCATATAGCTAAAAAGGCGAGAAAGGGAAGGAAGGAGAAAGAAAAATCTCCATAGCAAAAGATCCAACAAACAATTAACTGAGCACCCTAAGTGGTAGGGAAATTATACAAGTAAACACACTGAATATTTTTATTTCAGCTTGACAAAATTTTAGTAGCCTTTAAGTTTTGAAATTGTTTTTATAATTAATCTTTCCATTTCAACTTCCGTCGATTTTTCATTTTTTCTTAAAATTAAAACAATTCTTATATCCTAATAAATTTAATCTTATTTTATCATGGATTATCAGATATAAATGCATATTAAATTATTTAATTTTTCTACTTAATTAAATATAAGTTTGATTTATTTTTCAGGGGCGGGATATAACATTTTAGTATCTTGTAGCCATGAAAAACACAAGGAAATAACTAAAACTATTACTGCTGAAATACCTGATGCTACAATTATTGGTGAAAATCAAGAAGGGATAAAATTTAAACTACCCTTTAATGAAACTAAACATTTTCCAGTGTTATTCAAGCAATTAGAAACTAATAATACATCTATAATTGCAATCAACTGCACAACAATGGAGGATGTTTATTTAAAGTAATATTTTTTAATACTTATTTCATCTATAAAGAAATATATTTATTGAAATGTGAAATTTATCTTTGGTTCATTATGAATAGCCAATTAGCAATATTTTTAAAAATTAAAGCATTAAGTGACTTAATGACTTTACCTCTATAAAATTAGAACATTGTGTACTTCAAAAGTTTTTTCATCTTAAATGTGATCAAAACTCACAACTAACCTTTTTGTTTAAATCAATCAATACTGCATTTAATAATTTTTTGCAATACTAACAATAGAAACAATCAAATTTAAAAACATGTAGAAGTTCAAACAAATTCTTAACCTTTTAATCTCTACATGAACGTTTTAGAATATTTTCCCATCAAAACTTTCCTATTCAATGAAAAATACATGTTCATAATGAAATCATGGGTGATAAATATTCAGGACGCAGTCTTTTTTTTTTTTTTAATTTTTAGTTTTTTAATTATGCCAACGTTTCAACCCAAACATGTGGGTCATCTTCAGATATGAGGAGTTGATCGGAGGAGGGGGGGGAGAGGGTGAGGTCAAATAAATACTAAATTATACAAATAGTATTATTTAATTTTTTTGCCGACGTTTCGACCCACTTTTCAGGTCTTCATCAGGGCTACAAAAGATACAAAACAAGTGAAAATAGAATAAATCAATATAAGTAGATATAAAATAAGAAGAAGTTGTCTGATAAAGAAATAATAAGATGATATCAGAGATATAGTGGGTGACAATGTAGTTAAATATCAAGTATTATATATATAGAAGATACAAACAAAAATGGAAAATAAATATGAATAAAAATAGAAAACAAAGGAGAATATAGCATGTAAGTTAAAAGTAAACAGCTCCAACTCCCTTTTCCCTAAATCGATCACTAATTCCCTTAATCACATTACTATTTCCATAATACTTTAAAATTAAAAAAATCCCTCCTTAATTTGAAAATCTGTGGAATCATATTTGAAATCTGTGAAATTTCATTTAATGAAATTTTTCAACAATCGTTAGCTCATAAGATATACCCAAAAGGAGACGATAATTGGGTACACAACTCCTCATCCATAGATATTCCCTCCAACGTCCTCAATATTTTAAGCTTAGGCCCGAATTTTTCCACCCCTAATTCCTCCACCAAACTCATTCCAGAACTTATTACAGACTTAGAATATATTTATAACGATCTAATTTTTCACCATTCTAATGATAATAAATAATTATCTCATTTTTCCATAACTAACATTATCTCTAACCATCTCCAACAACCCCCATCCACTCCTTCTAACTTTTCTCCTCAATTCTTCAAAGATCTTTCTTTCACACTCTCCTTCCTTAAAAACCATGACGACATCATCACTAAAGCAGACAAAGGAAATAAAATAGTTATCATGGACCTCACGGACTATAATAGAAAAATGATTGAACTCCTATCAGACCTAACTACATATGCTCTTACAACCCGTGATCCTACTCCTCTTAAAATCCAATTTTTTTTTTTTTTTTTGTGTCTTCCCCGGGCCAGAGAGTATGGGCGGGGATTTAAAAAACTCCCTCACAGCACCGGGACACGAACTCGTGACTATTTTTATATCATTTGATTGATATATCAAGTTGCCGGGCAATGGCGGTACTGTGCACACGTGTTAGCCCATTCGGCCATCCCGCCCAAAATCCAATTTAATCAACATATCAGAAACCTCTTACACTCTAAACAAATCACATACCTTACTCATGGAAACCTCATATCTTATATCTCCGTGGCTCCCCGTTTCTATGGTCTTCCAAAAATTCACAAACCTGGTACTACCCTCTATCCTATCACTTCTAATATTAACTCTCCCTCTTTAAAATTAAGCAAATTTCTACTCCTATCCTTGCAAATCCTTAGTCATGACAACCCATATGATATTCACAACTCCTTTCATCTACGTAATCTGTTATTATCCCTAACCATTCCCGATAATTACATTCTAGTCTCCTTCGACGTTAAAAGCCTCTTCACCAACATCCCTATAGATAAAGCCCTTCTTACAGTAAAAAAAAACTGGTCATCCTTAGAGTCTCATACCTCCTTCAACCGTTCCTCATTTATTGAATCCCTACAACTTTGTTGCAATTCTGGTTATCTCATGTTCCGTGGACAATTTTACAACTAAATTGAGGGATTAGCTATGGGTATTAGGGCTTCCCCTCCAACACCATGAAAAAACTCATTACTGATTACAAAACCCGCCTCACATCCTCTATCCCCTTCTCTAGTTCTCAAAATCTGCCCTCCATTCCTTTATATAGAACTCTACCATACATCCCTTTACTTTCTGATAAAATTCAAAAATCCTTGTGTTCCTCCATCCCCAACCTACGAGTTGCTTTTAAAAACTACAACAAACTTGCCAATATTTACTCCAATCTAAAAGACCCCATCCCTCTGCAACATCTTTCAAATGTTGTATACCGCATTCCTTGCTCTACCCCCAATCGTAACTCTGCTTATATTGGATAAACCAAAAAACAACTTAAAGACCGCATCAAACAACACAAATACACAATTACTTCCAAGAACTCTACTGCTTCTAAACTTTCTGAACATGCTTATCCTCAAACCACACATTTGAATTTGACAATACCCCCATTCTTGCCACAGTACCTAACCATGACAAAAGACTACTTACGGAAAGTGTTTACATTCCATTCGACTACAAACCACTGAATTTAAAAACAGACAAACAAAACCTGTCCCTCTCCTATTCCCAAATTATCAACATTTAAAAAAATTCTTAATCATAAACCTCTATCAAATGTTCTCACTTCCATTTATAGTTCCTTTTATGTCTTTTCCTTTTACGCTTTACGTGTTATGTGGGTGTGTGTATAGATAGATAGATAGAAAGTAAACTTTATTCTGGGACAAGGTCCCTTATGAATAACAGATATGAACAAAAAAATTAAAACTACATCTGGCCAAAAATTACATTAATCAATATTAAAGAATATATACAGTATCTTCAGTGAAATATAATTAAAACAAGTAAAAATAAAATAAAATTTTGAGAAAAAACGAAATAAAAAAAACAACATTATTTAAATGAAAATAAAAATAAAATAAAATAAGCATGGGTTGATTTTTAAAATTAAGACAATAAATTTTATCAATCATTCACCTCAGTCAAAATCTGTTTCACAATATTTATTTTATTGTATAACGTCATTTTGGGATGTGAGAAGGAATTGGTAAAGATGATATTTAAATGAGGACAAGGAAGAGGCATGACGGATTTCAGATGGCAAGGAATTCCAGAAGGCTGTGGATCGGGAAATAAAGGAATATTCAAACGTCTTAGTTCTATGGGAAGGGATATAAAGGTCGGAAACACGGGATCTTGTTTTCTGGGAGTGGACCACGGGTTTAAACTGTAGGAGACTGTAGATGTAAGAAGGGTGTCTAGTGTTGATTGTTTGGAATAGGAAAGATCCGAGGAAATATTGTCTGCGGAACTCGTCGTAAAGGTGGGACACATGAGATCGCTTTGATGTACCGAAGACAAATCTTAAGCACGTATTCATGAGTCGCTTCAATCTATCCTCGAGTACCATCGGGATGCCTCCGTACACCACACAGCCGTAGTCAAAGTGGGGGAAAATGAGAGAGAATACAAGGAGCTTGCGGATGGGTTGTGGGAGTAGGTGGCGGGAGCGATGAAATAGCTTAAGGGTACCTATTGACTTACGGGAGATGAGGGCAATATGGGGTTTCCAGGAGAGGTTTTCGTCTATGGTGATTCCTAGGTTTTTAACGGATGAACTGAATGTGACAGGATGATCGTTGATGACTAAAGGAGGAAGGAAGGAGATGGATTTAAGAATAGGACTGGAACCTATAATAATGGCCTGAGTTTTCATCGCATTTAGATTTAAATTATTCAGACTTGCCCAGGCACTGATCCTATCTAGGTCAGCCTGAATATTGGCGAACGCGACTAGTAGCTCAGAAGGATGAAAGGAAAAATATATTTGGGTGTCATCAGCGTATAAATGATGTGAACAGTGGTAGATGGATTTGGAAAGATCATTTATGTAGGAGTTGAAAAGGAGAGGGGAAATGCTCGAACCCTGGGCCACTCCAGAGGACAGTGTAAGAAAGGAAGATAGGGGTTGGTTTGGAATGCTGACTGCTTGAGTTCTGTCGGATAGGAAAGACTGTAACCAGAGGATAGAGCTGTTGGAGAAGGATAGAGATTTTAATTTAGTATAGAGTATAGAGTGGTCTAAGGAGTCAAAAGCTTTGGAAAAGTCGAGAAGTATTAATACAGTTAACATTTTTTCGTCCATTGCGGTATGTAAGTCATTGGTAATTTTTAGTAGGGCGGATTGTGTGGAGAAGCCAGGTCGGAAACCAGATTGGAGAGGATCGAGTAGTTTTGAGTTTTCAAGGAATTTAGAGATTTGGGATTGAGCTATTCTTTCCAGAGGTTTAGAAAGGTTAGAAAGAATGGAGATTGGGCGGTAGTCTTTAGGAGAGGTAGGATTGGGAATTTTGTTGATATGTCTGACTAATGCTTTTTTCCAAGCAGTTGGAAAAACTGAGTTCTGGAGGGAAAAATTATAGATGAAAAGGAGAACTGGAACGACTTCGGGAAGGCATAATTTTAATAGTTTGACTGGTATCCCATCAAGTCCGATGGAGTTTGTGTGTGATTTCATTATAGAGGAAATAAGGTTGGTCGGTGAGATGTTGGAGAAATAGAAATTATCACTGTTAAATGAAGGTGATAAGAAAAACTGGTGAGAGGTGGGTGAACTGTTGCTGGTGGTGGATGATATAAGGTAGGAATTTAGTTCATCGGGTGATACCGGGTAGAACGGTGAGGAAGAGGATTTACAAAGAGAGAGTTTACGAAGGGTTAGCCATATTGATTTAGAATCAGGAGCAGAAGCGAGAGTTTCGTGAAAGAAGTTTGATTTCGCTTTCCTGATCGTTGTTTGTGTCAAGTTAC